GCCTTAACGTAGTGCTTCCATCACCCCATCTTATACACCGTGTTTTTACCAACCCCATCTTCCCCTAAAGGAAGGAGAAATGGGAAGGCCACTATTCCTCATTTCTCATTCCTCATTATTTCTAGCATCACAGCTGCAGAAGCTGTGGACAAAAACCAAGATTTCTAATAGATCTAAACCACTTATTATATTCAATATTTTAAAAACTTGAAATATTGGCAAAGCCCTAGACATGGTGCCAGCTTCTCCTGGACATATCTAAGTCCAGAAATGCCATCTTCTATTGAACCAAATTATGCTTGAAAATCAAGCATCTGTTTCACATGTTAGTTGTATCGTCTTAATATCATTTCAATGTAGTATACTTAGGTGCCATGCATCACTTTGGAAATGATGAATCTTAGCAGTTACCAATTTTTTTCTGACCACATTAAAATATAAGGCCATAAACTCATATTTATCTTTTAAACAAAACTTTTGAAAGCCCCTAGATACTTTTACCATTGAACACTTTCTCTCTCAGTCAGTTTTTCTTTTCTTTTCTTTTTCTTTTTCTTTTTTTTAAAATAAATCTTCGTTGGGCATGGTGACTCATGCCTATAATCCTAGCACTTTGGGACGCCAAGGCAGGAAGATCACTTGAGCCCAGGAGCAGCCTGGGCAACATGGTAAAACCCTGTCTCTAAAAATTATACAAAAAAATTTAGCCAGGCGTGGTAGTGCATGCCTGTAGTCCCAGCTACTCAGGAGGCTGAGGCAGGAGGATCACCTGAACCCCAGGAGGTCAAGGTTGCAGTGAGCTGAAATCACGCCACTGAATTCCAGCCTGGGTGACAGTGAGATGCTGTCTCAAAAAATAAAATAATCCTTCTACTTTGTAATAATTTAAGATTTATAGAAAGTTTCAAAGATAAGGCAGAGAATTTTTATATCCACTCACCCAGTTTTTCCCGTTGTTGGCATCTTACAGTCCTAAGGTACATCTGTTCATGCTAAGAAACCAGCATGTTACTATTAACTCAACTGAAGACTTTTCAATCAACTACTTTTGATTTTCTGCTTGATCCTTATAGAAAATAATTTTTCAGCAACTATTCTTATTAAAACTAAGTATAGCTAAATAGTTTGTACTCATCTCAGAAAGCTCCAAAATTCCACTGCTTCAGAGGGGAAAGATTTTGGACATGGTTAAAAAGTTATTCACTGTTAGATTGGCACAGTGGCTCATGCCTGTAATCCCAGCACTTTGGGAGGCTGAGGAGGGCGGATCACTTGAGGTTAGGAGTTAGAGACCAGCCTGGCCAACATGGTGAAACCCCGTCTCTACTAAAAATACGAAAATTAGCTGAGCATGGTGGCTCGCACCTGTAGCCCCAGCTACTCGGGAGACTGAGGCAGGAGAATCGCTTGAACCCGGGAGGCAGAGGTTGCAGCGAGCCAAGATCGCACCATTGCACTCCAGCCTGGGTGACAAGAATGAGACTGTGTCTCAAAAAAAGGAAATAAAAGAAAGTTATTCACTGTTGAAAACTTGAAAATGGTACTTATCAGCAGCCAAGTTTTTGAAGAGAAAAACAATAAGGATGGTATTTCCATAACCACAGCACATCTAAAACTGCTGGTATCTCTGTAGCTTGCCTTGTTTTGTCATCCTCTCTGTTCGATCCCTCCCACATAGAGTAGGACTCCTCTCAGCTCTGCCCGCAATGCCTCCTCTGTATAAAGCCTCAGGAGGATCTACCTTTTGCTGGGAAACAGCCTGCTGACCCCATCTTCCTGTGGCTTAGAGGATCACTGGGCATCCGCCATCCTCACTGCTTCACTCTGAGTGTGTGCACAGATGAAATGAGATATGGCTTTACACTGAGTGAGCCTCCCACCAGCTGGGCTCCTCATGAGGCTTTCAGCTGAGTTCTCGTGAGAAAGCCCTGCTGTCTCTGCCTTTTGGGAGACAGCTAATAGAAACACCTAGAGAAATGTTAAGTATGGCCTCTTCAGATTGTGACTCTTCAGTTCTGTGTGCCAAACCATCTTTGCTGGAGGAGGCAGCGGCTGCCCTCTGCTGATGGTCATCTTTCCTCGTGTTACCCCAGGAAGCTTTGGGGCTGAGTGCCCAGGAAGACCGGGCTGCCATCTGTATGCCAGCCCTCTCTGCCCCTACAGTGTGTTTTTGTCTTCTCCAAATCAAATTGGCCATGTGGAGTCCGGAGTTTTCATGTCCGTCCTACCTCTGCGTGATTGCCGCAATAGGTGGCAACGCCATTGGCAAAAGAATCCAATTAGAATATGTACAAGTTGTTTTGTAATGGCTGAGGGCTCAAGGACTTATGGAGATACAACATGCTCCTAAACAGAGGTATGATTTCCCAGGGTCCCAGTGACTCCATGGAATGCTTAGTAACCTGCAGGGGATTCTATCCTTGCGGATTGAAGATAAGGCTCCATTTGCCTTTTCGCAGGGTTGCTTTTTGTTTTTCTTTCTACCTCCTGAATCCTTCCCTACTTGACACTCTGGAGGATCTGACTGTGTACCTGTCTGCCTAAAGATGCAGGCAACTATACAGAGATAATTCTGCAGGGTTTACAATGAGACTGGAGGCAGCACAGAAAAAGCTGACGGGTGTATCCCCTGCTAGGGCCAAGATTCAGACCTAACCAAGGCCCACTGTTGCAGTTTCCTGTCCCCTTTTATCAGATAAAAAACCTGACCTACAGAATGAGGGGTGTCTCTGAGGTCTCTCTGCTAATAAGTGTGGGTCACTCATTTCACTGTCATCACCAACATCATCAATAACAACAGAGGCTGACAGTCAAAAAGGCTTACTATGTACCAGGCATTATGCTAAATCTTTTGTATATATTGTCTTATTTAATTCTCTCAAGAGCCCTATGAATTAGTGACTGTGGTAATTCTATGTTTCAGAAAAGGAAACTGAGGCATAGGACATCTAAAAGCCCTCAGCTAGTAAGCGGGTGAACTGGGGTTTGAATACAGCTTGGCTCTCGGGGTTACTCTTCTAACCCCTGTGCTCTGATTTTATGTCTAAAGCTACTGAGTACTAACTATTCTCTCTCCTGAAGAAAAAATTTTATAATAATTTCTTACATTTATAGCATATTACTAGTCATGGTTTTGTTCTCCGCCCGCCCCCCCCCCGAATTTATTGAAAATCTCTGTTCCCAAGCTGCTAGGGTAGATATCATCTAGTCATACTTTCTCTAGGAAATGAATTCAATTAGTGTGTCACCTTAGATATTAAATGTTTTGATAAGTTCACAATTTGAAGACTGACACTTCTCTTTATCTTTTATTATTCCAAGAGCTCCTGAGAGATAAATCATGTGATCTCATTCAGACATAATGGTCTAAAGCCAGGTACTCCTTGTGCTGTGCTGAATCATTGATGAAGTCCAGCCACTGCATCCCAGCAGGGCCTCCGGACAGCTGCACCTCAATTCCCCTGTTCACACAGGACACACACCTTTGGAACCTTTTAATTAATGTGGATGAGTTAGTTTCAAAAAAAGAAAGAGAGTAGGGATCAAGAGAGGTACAAACTTATTTTAGTTTCTACCCACAAACTAGAATAGCATATATTCTGGGAAAACTTTGAGATCACTATGGATGTTGGGGGTGGAGGTTAATGGAAGGGAATATAAATCTGTACCAAATGTTCTACTTTTTAAAAAAGTCTTGAGCTGGGTGTGGTGGTTCATTCCTGTAATCCCAACACTTTGGACGGATCACCTGAGACCAGGAGTTGAAGACCAGCCTGGGCAACATAGCAAGACCCCATCTCTTTAGGAATTTAAACAAAATGAATTAGACATGATGATTTGTGTCTATAGTCTCAGCTACTCGAGAGGCTGAGGTGGGAGGATCTCTTCAGTCCAGGAGTCTTCAAGGCTGCAGCAAGCCATGGTCGTGCCACTGCATTGCAGCCTGGGTGACAGAGTGAGACACTGTCTCTAAAAAAAGTCTTTAACTTCATGGTTTATTAATTCTACAAACCTGGAGCAAATTTAATAATAGAATAATATTACCTCTATTTTACATGGAAAATATACATATAGTTCTACACTGAATATAGTTCTACACTGAATATAGTTCTACACTGAATACAGTTCTACAATGGAGTTCTAACGTAATCCTGGGGCAGAATTCTCGATAGATAAGTAAAAATCCAAAACATTATTGCGAAATTTACCCTGTCTTTGGTTTGCTGCTTTACTGCTGTTCTACATTTTTAATTTTTAGGACTACTTTTACACTTCTCTTTTGCTTATAATACCCCTTGGGGTAGAAAAACATATAATTGTGACTTCAACAATGTTTATTTATATATGTAATTATTACGAGTTAACTTGCTACATAATTTATTTCCCATTATAGTTAGCTAAAATATATTACCTAGGTGTATTTTCAGAGTATATTCAGTAATGAGACTAGAAATTAGAAATGATTTGTTCTGGAAGCTCATCTATTAAAGGGCATTCTGGCCTTTAACTAAATCTTACACATCTTTTTCTTCCCATTTTCTGCAATGGACATAGCTTCCAAAAAGGGAGAAAATATTCTTCGTGTATTTAGCTACAGAATATACATGAGTGTGAATTCTAACTTTACTGTTTATTAGCTCCATGAACCATTTGTATTTTTCACACTCAATTATACTATCAGGAAATAGAAGATAATAATAGATTAACAATAGCTAATAATGTTTTGAGGCAATCAACTGAGATTGTTTGAAAAGCACTTATCTGAGTTCCTGGCACTTAGACATTAAATAATTACTTCCCTCACTTATGTATGAAAGGTGAATGCCCAAATGATGCTTGGAGCACCTCTGCCCTTCTGCTTAGCAGCTGAGGGATAAGATAATTGACCCTAGATTTCTTAGGAATGACCTTCTGAGCCGATTAGAAAACATTGAATTTTCTGCTGATTTGTGTGAAGCCACATGGTAAGACATTGCTAATTATGATTTTTACCCACGCAGGTCAGAAGTTACGTCAAGAGAGCCCTTGCTGAAGGTGCCCAGATTTGGTGCGGGGAGGGGGTGGATAAGTTGAACCTCCCCGCCAGGAGCCAGGGAGGCTACTTCATGCTTCCCACGGTGATAACAGACATTAAGGATGAATCCTGCTGCATGACGGAAGAGATATTTGGTCCAGTGACGTGTGTCGTCCCCTTTGATAGCGAAGAGGAGGTGATTGAAAGAGCCAACAACGTTAAGTATGGGCTGGCAGCTACTGTGTGGTCCAGCAATGTGGGACGTGTCCACCGGGTGGCTAAGAAGCTGCAGTCTGGCTTGGTCTGGACCAACTGCTGGCTCATCAGGGAGCTGAACCTTCCTTTCGGGGGGATGAAGAGTTCTGGAATAGGTAGAGAAGGAGCCAAGGACTCTTACGACTTCTTCACTGAGATCAAAACCATCACCGTTAAACACTGATCTTTGCTAATGGTGGAGCCACTATGGCCGATGCCTGGCTGCTGGGATCAGTTGTTCAACGTGTTGGATGAAAATCACGGCATGAATTCCAGCTATGCCTTGACTTGGCAGAAGGATATCTCTAGCTTATCCTCAGTTCTTAGTAATTTTACCCACTAGTGAAGAGATACTGTCTATTTTCAATGTGGACTCGGAAGAAAAGACTTCTAAGTAGGAAGACAGAACAATGATGCCAAACAGTTGTCAAGCTCCTCCCAGGTTATGTTTTTATAGTGTTTCTTTCATCATCTTCATTGAACTCTTCGGAGTCTCCAGACAATCAGATTATTTCATTTGCAAGTATATGGTAAATTTTTAAAAAATCTACAATCAGGTACAGTGCGTCCTGCCTATAATCCCAGCACTTTGGGAGGCCAAGGCAGCGGATCACTTGAGTTCAGGAGTTCGAGATCAGCCTAGGCAACATGGTGAAATCCTATCTTTACCAAAAATTTAAAAATTAGCTGGGTGTGGTGCCCTCTGCCTATAGCCCCAGCTACTTGGGAGTCTGAGGTGGGAGGATCACTTGAGCCCGGGCTGTTGAGGCTGCAGTGAGCCATGATCATGCCACTGCATTTCAGCCTGTGGGACAGAGTGAGACCTTGTCTTTAAAATAAAAAATGCTACAAACCCAAAAAGAAACAAAGAGCCATAATTTGCCATCTTTGGAGAGATTATGGAGATGTTCTCCTTGTCTATTAACCACTAGCATGGCTAATTGATCTTTGATTGTACCTCATTACGTAAGGGGGCAGTGGATGTCTTTGGAATTTGTTAGGGGAAGCTTATGTGGTAAGCTCTACTAAATGTATCTCTACAAGGATGAAGAAAAACAAAATAACTACCACTTTTGGAGGAAACTTGGAACAAGAAGAGGACATAGTTTGATCTATTCCTATGGTCAAGTCCAATCAATTCTATTTCTTAGTGTGTGCATCTAGTGAGGCTTACAACTTACTAACTCCAAAAGAAGCAATAAATGTTAAACAATTTTAGTAACCAGTATGGCATGTATCTTATTTTTGAATGCATTCCTCCTTATCCCCATCCTCTTAGGAATATGGACGTTTTACTAAGTAATAAAGATTTCAAATGCTTTTTTCTTTTTTGGATCCCCAAATGATCACAGGAGAAAACTGAGGTTTATAGAGGTCGAGCAACATAACCAAGGTCACACACATGGTATGGGTAGAGGTACGGTTTGAACCCAGGACTTTCAGGCTCCAAAACCCATGATCTCTCACCCGCTTCCACTTGCCTTAGCTGGTGCTCAGGAAGCAGTGAAGTATCTGTGGTTCCTGGCACACATGGTGTTGCATCTCCCCTCCAAGTTTCCTTCTTGTTTTGCCTCCCCCATCCTCTCTCCTACCCACCTCCACTTCAAGGCCCTTGCTCAGTAGTCGTGCTACTCAGGAACACCTCCAGCATGGGCCTTCCTACACTGATGGGAGTGATCTGTTTGCATGTCTGTCTCTGTAACTGGACAGGAGTGTCGAAAGCCAAGGCTGCTGGAACTGCATTCTGAAGAGTCTCAATTCATAGCATAGTGCCTGGCATACAGAAGGTGCTCAAAGCAAGTTCTGGGAAGGAAACAAAGTCTTCCTGGTGCTCTGGGGTATTTGTTCCATGGTTTGTGTGTGTGTGGTTGAGGGTGATGAGAGGGGAAGACCAAGCTTTATAATTTTGCTTAGGATTTCAGATATATTGGCTTACTTGCAAATGCTGAGAAATAAAAGCCAGCCCCTTTCAGATCAAGTGATGGTGTTGGATGATACCTGGCTCTAGATTCTACCTTCCCTTTTCCTTTCCTCGCCTCTTCTCTTCCTCAGTTGAGTCCCCTTGACCTTAATCACTTTAGTGAAGAACCAATTTGAACATCAGCAGGAGGAATTTCAGCAACTCCAGTCTCTAGGAATCTGCATCTTCACTCTTGTAAATGGGCTGGCCTAAGTTCATCCTTATTCCTGAGACCCAAACCATATCTTGATTCCAAATTCTAGCAACTGACTCCTTGCTCCCTGTGCCTGCACAGCCACCTTCCACTGGCTTGTCTTGGTCCAGGAGACTGTTCTCTCCAGGGCTCAGAGTCAGCCCTGCTCTTGTTGGTTCCTGTCTTGGTCCTGGGTCCTGCCTGCGGAGGGGCCTGCTTCCGGCTGGCAGACATCCTGGAGGCCATTTCCCTACTTCTGGGTCTTTTGGATCTCTCAAACTCCTCCTGAGCTCACAAGGCAGCCTCATTAATGCCTATTTGAGCAAATGCTTTTCCTCCAACCAGCACTATTCCATCTGTCAGTTGTTATAACACTGTCTGAGTCTTAGCAGTCGAGCTAGAACTTCCCTAGTTTTGTTCCAGCCCCTAGAGATCTGAGACTGAACTCCTCCCAGGCCATCCATGCAGTCTCAGGTCCCCACAGCAGCGGAGGCACCACTCCATTCTGTGCCTACACTGCAGCAGAGTCCCACGGGACTGGTGTGTCCTGGCTTGGGGCTTCCACACCCCTGCTGTACTGTGCTCAGAACTGACGAAAGACAGAATTGGGATGAGGGTGTCCACAAGGGTTTCATTTTTAAGCCAGTTGATGGGCATATAAGTGCTCACTATATTATTTCATAAGTCAGAATTATTTATATACCAAAAAAGGAAAGTGGATCATATTGAAGGGACAGCCAGGAACAGGCTGAGAGGAGAAGTTGAGAAAAGGTGGGAGAGACTCCTCCTAGCAGAGCCCAGAGGTCCTAAGCTTGAGGCTCAGGAATGGACAGCAGCCAAGGAGCAGTGCTTCTTAGACTTGGAAGTGCTCCTGAATCACCAGGGATTCTGTACAGAGTTGGATTCAGTAGTTCTGTGGTGGGACCTGAGATTGCACTTGGAGTGTCGAGGAATTAGAAGACACTGATTAGAAGACAGGTACCTCCTCTCCTCTTCCTAGGTTTCGGGAGAAGCTGGCTACATTTGCTCCCTGCTGGAGACACTAGAGTAGAAGAACTTCCCAGGAATGCCTCTAATGGGGCTCCAGGCACACAGCTTGAGATAGCTCAGGACCTTCCATGCAACACTGGGGAGGAGGAAGGGAGAGGTAGCCCCGTCTCAGAGTGACATGCACTGCAAAATGTCACCACCCAAGGCAAAGTCCTCCTCACTGGTAGTTAATGAGGATGCAAGATGAACTCTCCACACTTCTTAAAAGGAAGCTTCTTTGCTTCAGAAAATGGGGATTTAGTCCCCCATTCAGCAATGGGTCTTATGGGTAAACTGTTTTTCCAAATTTCAAAAAATAACTTTGTTAATTACCCATGCCAATCAACAATATAATTTTTTGTTGTTGTTGTTGTTGTTTTTCTTTGAGTCAGACTCTCGCTCTGTCACCCAGGCTGGAGTGCAGTGGCACGATCTCGGCTCACTGCAACCTCCATCTCCTGGGTTAAAGCCATTCTTGAGCTCAGCCTCCTGAATATCTGGGATTACAGGCACCCGCCACCACACCTGGCTAATTATTGTATTTTTAGTAGAGACAGGGTTTCACCATGTTGGCCAGGCTAGTCTCAGACTCCTGACCTCAAGTGATCCACCTGCCTTGGCCTCCCAAAGTGTTGGGATTACAGGCATGAGCCACTGAGCCCAGCCAACAATATCATTTTTATTAAAAAATTACTGGCCAGGCACAGTGGCTCATGCCTGTAATCCCAGCAGTTTGGGAGGCAGAGGTGGGTGGATCACCTGAGGTCAGGAGTTCAAGACCAGTCTGGCCAATACGGTGAAACCCCATTTCTACTAAAAATATAAAAAATTAGCCATACGTGGTGGCACACGCCTGTAATCCCAGCTACCTGGGAGGCTGAGGCAGAAGAATTGCTTGAACCCGGGAGGCAGAGGCAGCAGTGAGCGGAGATTGCACCACTGCCCTCCAGCCTGGGAAATAGAGCAAGATTCTGTCTCAGAACAAAACAAAACCAAAAATACCCAACAACAAAAAAACGTACCAAGCAACCAAGAATTATCAATTTTTTCAGAGACGCTAAAAAGTTGAATGAGTCCCCTCAGAAAGATGTGAGGGGATAGCGCATTTATAAATAAGAATAGGCTTCTAGAAAAATTAGCAAGCAAACAGCATGAAAGGGGTCTTGAGAAATTAAACAATTGATTCTCCAAATAAATTTGAAAAATTTATAGAATTGAATCATTAATAGGGCTGAAAACAAATTAGTAGTCTGGAAGATAAAGTTGAGAAAATAGCTCAGGATGTAGAGAATGACAGAAAAGGAAAAATCTGAGAGAGTTGGCGAGACGCAGGATAGTTCTATAGAGCTATTAATATGTAACTAATTCAAAATGTAAAAACAACGGCAAAAATATGGAACCAGCCTAAATGCCCATCAACCAACAAGTGGATAAAGAAAATGTGGTATGTATGTGTGTGTGTGTGTGTATACATATTTTATATGTATACATACACATACACCATGGAATACTACTCAGTCGTAAAAAGGAATGGAATAACAGCATTCACAGCAACCCGGATGGAGTTGGAGACCATTACTCTAAGAGAAGTAACTCAGGAATGGAAAACCAAACATCCTATGTTCTCACTTACAAGTGGTAGCTAAGCTAAGGCATAAGAATGATATAACGGACTCTGAGTTTCCCAATGGGCAGAGTGGGAGGGGCGTGAGGGATGAAAGACATTGGGTACAGTGCACACTGCTCAGGTGCTGGATGCACCAAAATATCAGAAATCAGCACTAAGTCACATATCCATGTAACCAAATACCACCTGTTCCTCAAAAGGTATTGAAAAAAAAGAAGAGAAGACAAACAGGGGGAAAATAACCAAATAAATAGAAAAATAAAATTTGTCTGAACTAGAGAAACTCTTTTTAGATGGAAAATACCATGTTTCAAGAAATACTCGGTGGAAAATTTTAAATTCCTAGTGTAGGCTGAGTGCAGTGGCTCACACCTGTAATCCCAGCACTTTGGGAGGCCGAGGTGGGAGGATATCTTAAGGTAAGAAATTTGAGACCAGCCTAGCCAATGTAGCGAGACCCTGTCTCAAAATATTAAAAATAAAATAAAAAAATCCTAGCGTAAGGCTTACAGAGTGAATCAACAGGATACCTACCCAAAAAAAGCACATAAGATTGTCATCACTCTTTTCATTAGTAACATTGATGCTAAAAGACAGAGAAGGAAAACTTCAAAGTTCTCAAGGAAAATTATTTTGAACCTAAATGTATATGCAGCCAAACTCTTATTTGCGAATGAAGGTACACTAAGATATTTAATGACTCCAAAATTCTCCCTATTTATCCTTTCTGGTATGACCTGGGGATGTAATGCAGCAAAAGGAAGCAGAATTCAACAGAACAGAAGAACTGCCTGAAGAATGAAATGAAAATAAATTTTAAGTTGTTAGATATTAAAAAGAGTCCTAGAAAGCTATTGGCTCAAGTCAGGACAGGGAAGACAGGACGTGGTGATTGAAGAACATCTTTAAAAAGAACATGGATTTAAAAATATGGTTTAATAATCTGAAAGATCTTAGATATATGAAAAAGCTAAAGGGGAACAGAAATATGCCACCCCAAAATATGCTACTTTGGCACATTGATTGTTTTGAGCTGAGGGTAATTAAGAAAAAACAGACACAGGAAAAGCTATTTTCCCCCTATTTGCCTAAAAGGAGAGCATAACATTCTCTTATGATAGTGTTCTCTCCTGTACCAGGACAGAAAGAATAACCTTTATTTCTGGAGATGGAGATGGTGCTGAGATGTCTGCATAAACAAACCTTACAAAATGACATTTACCTTCACTGTTTTTTCCCCCCAGATATTTACCTTCCTACAATTTATTGGCTCTAAAAGCCCAAACCCCCTCTTCTTTGTTAGTCATTTCTCAACAATTTACCACTTTTTGTTGAAATAGTACTTAAGGCCCCAAGACTAGCCACTTATTTGGGTTTTTATTTCTTTTCTATGGAGCTCCCATGCACATAAAATGT